CATTACCCTCTAAGTTACTTATAATGGTCGCTATATGACCTTAGTAGTTGAAAAACAACCTAAAATAAGTAAAAAACAAATCTTCGTTTCGAATGATTCTCGTTCGTTGTCCAGTTACGAAAAACTAATTAGTATATTAAAAGGAACATGTTACTCCGATTGCCGGTCCCCGAATAGTCAAAATGGTGGTCCCTTATTAGCAAACAATGGTAATTTTTACCATATTTGTTTCTCATATCGGCCGATTAATTACAAAGTAAGTGTTTAAGTATTTAGAAAATGTGAATTGCATTAAGAAGATCTCTTCGAAAGGGGCAGAAGAAACAAATGTGAACGATGGCTACAGCATGGTCATTTCCTCCCACTGTTCCTGTCCAAGCCAGTAATCCAGACGATTCGGTCGGTACCCATTCCGCGTTCATTTTCAGAGCAACAACACCTTGTGTTTCTACCACGTGATTGTCTTTACGTGCATTATAAACGTGATACTCTTGCGATGCCACTCATAAGGGGGGGGGGGGCTGCCGAAATGGCAGAACGGAAACATGCGTGCGCGCTTGCGGAATGCTTATGCAGATCAAAAAGAATCTATCAACTCTTTGAAGGTGCGGGTGAGCAAACTTGCGTTCCTTTTTCCAGTTGGTACTTTGTGATTACAATCATTTTGAAGGGAAACATCTTTTTTCCTGGGATAATATAAAAGTGGTCAATTCTATGTACTACTACGCAAGAAAATAATTTCACATTCTTGAAAATAACTAACTGTATGAGAAGTGCAGTGTACAAGGCGCAAATATATTTATTTTTACTGACATGTTATTCCTTGTACTGCTTTCGAAACAGAAATGAATGTGCACCGCATTACGTACCTGAACCGAGAGGATTGTTGTTACGAGGGAAATATGAAAACAGTTGAATGATACTACACGTTCTTTTATGGAGGGAAATACGAAAAGACAAACCATGTTAAGTTATCGTCTAGTTAAGTAGTAAATAAGTAAATCGAAATCTTTAAAATGAGGTAAAAAATTAAATAATTTATGTAATACTAGCGTCAATCGGTTCTAACAATATCGTGCCACAAAATGCCCTCGGGCCAAAAGACCTCGAGCATTTGATGCCGCTCAATCATTAGAACCCTTATAACGCCCTTACTGCATAAAATATTTGATATTCGCGGACGAGAAAAGTATTTGCAGCATATTGGCATACAATCTTTCTGCCCCCCCTCTATCTCCTTCCAAAAGTTCTTCTGCGTCTCAGTCCTGATTTTGCACTTGATTACATCCCTGACCTTGAGTTTACGCTTCATCTTATTCATTTTGAAAAACGAACCCTGTCGCTTAAATCGAAGTGAGCACGAATGAAAGGTAAGGATTTCGGCGCATCTGCAATTCTTTTGAGGAGATCATTTGCATAAACGATCAGAAAAGGATTTAACAGTCTACCTTACTGGTCAATAAAGTAGGAAAGTCAATAATGTCAAATAAACAGTGAGGAAGATATAGAAGAAGAAATCTGTGCCAAGTACATTGCCTCATTCAATTGTTTTCGTTGATATTGTTCACCTATTTGAATATGCGATATTACAGGAAACAATAAATAACTGCGAACCAACAATTACATTTCCGTATTTAGAGCTCTTCAGTCGGTGGATACTTATTCTTCAGTTTCAGCTGCATTTCAATTCAGCTAATTAGACATATTTGGAATGTTGTCGTGGAGAAGTAAAAAATGAACTTAAAAATAAGTATATTGTATAAATAATAGTGTGAGTGTTCTTTCGGTTCTTATGATAAGATTTCAGCATTAAATCCAATTAATAAATAACGGGTAAGCAGTAGTACAACTACGTAATTTTGAGTACAGTGAGACTGCGTTCTCATACATTTTACAAGTTATTAGTCATAGAGTATGTTATTGTTTGGTGGTAAGGGCAAAACAAGAAGGGGATATATATTAAGTAAGCAGAAATATTGGAAATGGATGATAAAAAAAGAAGAATATGAAGATAGAAAAAGGTGAGAAATCAATTCGAAGAAGATGAATACGAAGACGTACTGTACAAAGAGGATAAACATGTACGAGACATTACGAATGTTAAGAAGTAACAGCGTGTCGCTAAAGGAACACAAAGGGAGTAGCACCTATTCGGGCCCCCTTCCCGCGCAGAGCAGGGGGGGGGGGCACGCTTTTTCCCGGGTGCTCCGCGTCCATTGAGAAGCGATGTTAACGGCTGCGCAATCGATGCCAGCCGCCTGGAGATCGCGTGTCGCGAAGTTGACCTTGTTGGCTCGCAGCAGGGGCCGCCGACCTCGCGGTTTCAGAGGGGTGTCGGGGCAAGACCACTCGTACGACTCCCCTTCAATGCCGTTTATCCGGAATCCGTGCACTTGCTCTAGGAACGAGTCGACCCGGAACGGTCGATACTGGGTGCACTAGGCCAAGTGCTGCAATATACAAGCCTATCGATCGTGAATAGTTCACTTCCGCTCTCGGCGTTTAGGGTATACGAACCGAAAAGCAAATTACCATTTTACCGACCCAGACACTTGTTGCAATAAAGCACAAACTATTTAGGAAAGAAGTAAAGTAATTTTTTACATTAGCTACTCTCGGGTAGAAAATGGAAATATTAACAATGCGTACAGTCTTCAACCAGGGATTTTAATAAACACCTCGCATTATTCCGGGTGACCTGTTTTGTCTCTTTGATAGGTTATAATTTGCTAAAATCGGATTCGAACTACATTTTTTTTTTAAATGAGCAACATATGTTTTCTGATAATACCAGGCGATTTTCATTCACAATCTATTTCAAAATGCGTTAGATTCATTGCAAAATCTTATTCAATTACCTAGAATGATTCATATGTCAATAGCTAGTTACTGTGTAAGAAAAAAAACAGCTCAATAACATTTTTAAACATTTTTGAGAAATAGTAGAAACGTTCTTTAAACCAATGTCAGCTTTAGACAATATAGAAAAGTCACAATTTTCCCTCGTGGACAATTTCCCCAAATCCAGTTAGGTAAAACATTTGTCACAAATTACTTTTGATTATAAAATGAACTGATGTTATCCGATAACAAAGCTAATCATTCACGCTATTCTACACAGTATAATAATTGTTTCCTCGACGTATTTAGGCCTCAAATATAAAACGTAATATGATAATTGAAGGTGAACTTAGGTGTCATATAATATGGAGATGGTGGACACTGTAAAGCTCGACAAGTATCCGATAACTCAATTTTAAGAACGTTTTAGGTTAGGTATCTAGACCGTCAACATCTCGAGTTCTTTATGATAACATTATTTGATATATTGAATTACAAACTCAGTTGCAACTCAAATTCATCGTTCATAAAATGGCAAGGTTTGGCACAATGATACGAATTATGACGTCAAAGCTTTTTTGAAGAGAAGTATAGGAGAAGCTAGATTCGAATTAGAAATTTAGTTTCTTTGACAAATTTGGATTTTTAAATGTAGCTAGTAAGCTGTAAGAGCACCATAAAATATTTTTCACGTGGTTGAATCAATGGAAATTTTTTCTTAACATTACCATGTTACTATGAAATTCGTCGCATAATATATGTTAATTGAATCTAATTTCGTCCATGAACGGTTGCTTGTTCGAGTGAGTCGCTTCGCCTCGACATAATTTTTGCCCACTAGGCTGCAATGTCTATGTTGTGACAAAACAGTTAATTAAATGTTGTTAATTTAACAGTTAGTTAAATGTTAACAGTTAATTAATTAATTGAAACATTTCACTTCAGAAAATCATTTATAGATTAATATCAGCACATTAATTCCTGATATATACATTTTTCTGACTTTTAATGGAAGTGTACGGAGACACCGTATCCAGAGTTGCAAGAGTGGAGGCCATATTAAAAGAGAAGAGGTTATTGACCTTCACTTCACAAAACAAAATTGTGTGAAACATAATGTCTTATATAAGGCTCGTATCTTCACAATACAAACGCTTGTAGTTTTTTTTTTCGGCGGAAATTCTTCGGGAAAGGGAAAGAAGAGTTCGGCGGAGGCAAAACAGAGGGAGCGGAACGCGAGGAATGCGACGCACTGCGCAGGCGCTGGCCCGTCCCTCGTGGCGCGCCGCCGCGCTGAATGAATGTGGCGCGACCGCGAGAATATCGAACCGCATTTTTTCTCCCTCTCCTCAGGCTAAAGGACATCGTTAATGCCGCTCCGAATATATCCTCAACAGCATTGTTGGTAATGTCTCGAAGCTCCTGTAGGATAAAATACTTGTAATTAAGTTGAAGAAATAGAAGAAGAAAAAGAAAATAAGAAAAGAAGAAGAAGGAAGAAGGAAGAAGAAGAAGGAAGAAGAAGAAGGAAGAAGAAGAAGGAAGACGAAGAAGGAAGAAGAAGGAAGAAGAAGAAGAAGAAGAAGGAAGAAGAAGAAGAAGGAAGGAGAAGAAGGAAGAAGAAGAAGAAGGAGGAGGAAGAAGAAGGAAGAAGAAGAAGAAGAAGAAGGAAGGAGAAGAAGAAGGAAGAAGAAGAAGAAGGAAGAAGAAGAAGGAGGAGGAGGAAGAAGAAGAAGAAGAAGGAGGAGGAGGAGGAGGAAAAAACATAAATATTTTTTAATCCATATAACTTTTCCATCACATCGCTACCATTCTCGGTGCTTGTTTTAGGCATCTATATAAAATTACTGGTATGTTGTGGGTACATTTTCTTCTTCTTGAAGCTGAGCAAGCATTAATGCTGCACCATTTCCTAATATTATAAAAATAATTCATGGACGAAGACGCAAGACATTTTCGATATATTATTACTTACTTTTTGACAAAATATTAGGAGCAACAAATCTACATATATTAACTCAAAGACGAAATATAACAAAAGTTATTAAGTAGTCGAATACATGAAATGGATGCCTTATTTAAGTAGTAGTCGAATACATAAAATTATGCCCTGTTGTCATATAACACATATACATACATATAACATATTGCTTATCCTTATGTCGATTATTCGAGAAAATGGTAGTGCACATGTTAGTGAGTAGTGCAAGCTCATTCAGATTTCCATCACTTATTTTGCTACAAATTAAGCCCTGTTACGATGGGTCACTAACGCAGCGGCCGCCTACAGGGTCCTTAAATACATATGGTAACTCGCCATCCAGTTTTACTGAATGTAACACACGATCTAGTGTATTTCAAAAAGAACGAATCGATGGTATTCACAACGCAAACCCTAGTTTTACTTATAAAAATTGTGTTAAAACTCGATAGAAGTGTGTTGAATTGAAAACAATTTAAATTCTTTGACAGAGCGTGAATGAATGTGTGTGTGAGTGTGAGTGTGAGTGTGTGTGTGTGTGAGAGAGTGTGAGTGTGTGTATGAGAGAGAGGGGGAAAGGGAGAAGAGGTGAATGAAATTCAATTCGCCGGTCCGGATGGACGAAATCGTTATGGCAGTACTGCCGTTGCTATTTCGGACTGAAGGATCGCGGGTTCGGGTCCCTCATCGAGCATGATTGAATTTGTGTTCGTCCTTTCACCTCCTAACATCATATCATGTCATCTTCATAGTTACCATACCATTAACTGCAATAGTGGTCGCTAATGACCTAGATTTGATGCGACCTAAAATAACAAAAAAAAAAAATTCTTAGAATATTATTAGGTATTTTCATTTTAGGAAATTCTTTTATGAAGTACTATAGTGTTGTACCATTACTGGTTTACATTTTGTTTGTTTGTTATTAAAATTATTTAGTTTTATTTGAATTATCACAATATTAATTTGATCTGTATCTGCGTTTCAGCTTACATTCACGACCAGCGATACGTGCAACGAGATGCGGACATCATTGAAACCCTATCAAGTGAGTCTCCAATTTCATTACCTTTCTTCTGAATTTTCAAGTATGGATTTACTGTCCAAGAAAGCAGTGAATTAAATTATTCAATTGAATCAACTCGGCAAAACTATTTAAATGAGCTGAAGAAGTGAGAAAAAATACACTTTTCTAATTCACTAATAATTCCTTGTATTTCTGAGGGATGCTAAGATGGCTTTAATTCACTGGATCACATTAAGGAAATAATATTTGATTCTAACCCATTTTCATGGCATGCTTGATTAGAGATTGGAATAAAGACTGCAATCATTATCGTTAATTTGCATGGCTTACATTTGTAGGTATGAACGATGCCTAGGTGGCACTGAAATTTGATCTGAGTCGGTTGTTTACTCATTGTAAATAGATACGAATTGAGGATGGATTCTTAATCGTGAAGCCACTTATATATCAAACTTACGTATTTCTCTAATATAGTATATATTAATATAGTAATACGCGTATACAGTATTTGTCAAACTTAGGAAACTATGATAAGAAACGAAAAGTACATAATGAATACGCATTGAAAATCATAATATGTAATCCAACACATGCGACTATATGTTACACTATCACATAATAGACCGTCATTTACAAAGCATTAAGGGCACCTTTTTGTCTTTTTTTCATTTCCGCTGTAGAGCGGAGTTCTGGCGCAATTCTCCGTGTTTTTACATTGTCATTGGGCTTTGTCGATCATGTGACTCATTACCGCTGTGCCGGGTCGGTTAAAAATCTCCTTCCGCCAGGTGAGGCCACCTGATTTAGAAAACATGCTTCATTTTTTAGATGAAGTTTTCTTAAAATAAATACTGAAGTCGAGTTTTAAAAAGGAAGTTTGCAATCATTCACATATTTTTCACTGATAATTCTTTATTTCATAAATGAACTCCCTTCCCTTGGAGTTTGCTGTGTTACATGTAAAAATACTGTTGGTCAAACTCGGGACATTCTGTGAAACATATAGATAGAGGGTCTAAAATGTATTGTTCTAATATCTAAATAACCTTTACGATTATTTTATTTTTGTTTTGTTGTGTAGTTTTTAATTTGGTATAATGATTCTGAATTATTAGACACTGAAATGTGAATTTTCATTGTTTCTAAGTCTTCTTCTTGCAAAATACATTTCAGTTGCAAAAAAGCGAATTAAAAACCATTTTTTGAAGATCTAAATAAAATTGAGATTAATGAAAGGTGACGAAATCTGATCATAATTTTATATTTGTATTCAACGCAGTTTTTCTGGCTTCTTTGTGGTATTCTGTAATTTTTTAACTAATCTCCTCGACGGACTGTTACTTGATTATCAGATCACATCCCCCATTTTGAGGTAACAATTCTTTAATTACTTCTTTCAGTACGCACACTTTTCCGTTTGCTGCAATGCCCTTGAAACGACTTACGCCATGCAAACAAGTATTGAACTTCCGCTTCTGTGTTAATGGCCCTCTCCCTCGCCATCTCGATCAAGTATTTTGCTCATTTTCCCTTAATCAAATGAACAAATGCTATCCTTGTCTTACTTATGAACTTACATGAAGCTTCACTACACGCGCACGATTTCTTGACCTCTGTGATGTTTCTATAGGACATTTAGTTATTTTGTCAATCATACAATCAAAAAGCCAAATCAGTCGAGCCAAAATCTGTACCTCGTTTACTGTTTCAAATAGTTTTTATTACACAGGAATACTATTCTTGTTATCCAACTTTGCCAAAAGCGCTAGTTATTACCTTTATTCATAAATCAAGATACTAACACAGTATAAGTGAGAGAGGGGGCGAGAGAGAGAGGGGGGCGAGAGAGGAGCGGGGCCGAAGAGAGAGAGGGGCGAGAGAGAGAGCGGGGCGAGTAGAAGAGGGGGGGCGAGAGAGAGGGGAGAGAGAGGGGGGCGAGAGAGAGGGGGGCGAGAGAGAGGGGGGCGAGAGAGAGGGGCGAGAGAGAGGTGGGGCGAGAGAGAGGGGGGGCGAGAGAGAGGGGGGAGAGAGAGCGGGGGCGAGAGAGAGGGGGGCGAGAGAGAGGGGGGGCGAGAGAGAGAGGGAGAGAGAGGGGCGAAGGGAGGAGGAACAGGGCGAGAGAGGCACAAACGTGCACACGCAAAAACAAGCACTACCGCCATACATCTGACAGTTTTGAATTGTCGTTGTACGTTAAGAAAATTAATAAGCAAATTAAATAGGTAATAAAATATGACTAAAATATAAATAGAGTATAAAATAAAATGAAAATGACCCGAAGGCGCGGTTGCGTGCGTGTGTGCGCAGGGAAGGTGCAGAACCTGACGATCGTGTCGTCGGTGGCGCTCATCATCGGCGTGCTGCTGCTAGTGGTGGGGGCGCTGTACTTGACGCGGCTGCTGCGCGCGCACCGCCACCTGCTCTGGAGGTTCACCAAGCGCGGCGCCGCGCGCTCCTGCAACGCCAAACAGAAGGTGAGCGGCCGCGCCATTCCCTCTTCCCGGTACAACACGGGCCAGCACACGAGGGCCGATCAAGCGTCAGTGTCGGCCAGGGACGTTAAAGAAAAGATGCGAATTTCATACACCTCGCTAGTTTAATACATCTCTTCTTTTACAATCGAGAAATCAATGTGATGGTTTGCACTGCTTTTCCGATGATGGTTGATCAATGTCCACTGTAAGTTCAGTGAGGCAAAGTCCCAGGTTCGATTCAAGTGGAACACTTTCAATTCGATTAATCCTTATTGACTGAATTTGTTTGAGATCAGACAGAAGCCCTTTCAAACGTATGTACTGCCAAACAGCGTTTTGCAACGAGGTCGTTTGAGAAAACATTCTCAAGAAAGTTATCTCCAGAAATGATCAGAGACATCACACTTTTTAGTTTGGTAGAATGGAAATGCCTTAAAATCACAATTTTTTATTTGAAAGTCGCACAATGTAAGTATTGGTTGAAGGAGACAAAATCCTGGAGTGGCTGTTTGTTATTTAACCTTAAAGCAGTAAAATGGGTATACGATTTTTCCAAATGATTAATTAATTTTAATTAATGTTTTATTAATTTTATGTAGTAAGAATGGAAAGTGCCAACAAAATTAATAAGAGGGCCGTATGTGACCAGCGAGCCACGCTGTCCTATATCATGCATAAGGATCCCTGTGTCGTACCTCTTGAAGTGTCTTGCAGATCACCCAAATCGTAGATTGAGAAATCATTACCATCTCTTCTGGTTCCATTCACACCACGTAATATCCCGTTAACCCTTAAATTATTTGGCGATGCTCGATTGCGTTTCGTCTAATGGTATTAGTCTGTTCTCGTCATAAATCATTTCATTAGTGGTTTGAAACGTCCACGTTCACGAGTCGCGCAGAAACGACTGTAGCACTATTTCAGGAATTAAAAAATTAATTCCAGTAAATATCATTAACATAATATTAGAAATTACTTTAAAAATTTTATTTATGGAGTTTTTTAAGATACTATATTGATTATAACACTTAGGATCATGGAGGGAAAATTTATTTATAGCAGCAATGCAAATGCGCATTGCACAATAGCTAAAATTACATTAAATTTGTTCATATTTATTTTTTAAACACACAATTATAAAAATTTCTGTATGAAAATTAAAAGTATTCGTGATTTGATTTTCCGTAAGGATTATTTTTGAAAGAGAATTTACTTCTTTTGATTCTGGTATGATTCTAATATGATCCGTTTCTCAATTTAACTCTAATGGTAATTCGTCACGTGAGTTTTCGTCGCAAAAGCAAACACTGGCATATTTCTTTCATGCCCAGCTTTGTTTAAATATGTTCTTTCAGTATCTGGCATTGGACTTACCAATGAATTGAAGTAGCTGATAATGTTATACTCCCGTTCAAAAGTTCCCAACACCCAATAGCCGTGTGTGTTACCTCCATACGAGATATGACCTGGTTTTATTGTAATTTCAAAATTATAATCGCCGTAACAAATACTTACATGTCTTGATGATAATAGTTAAATTTTCGTACAACAACATTTTTACACTTTTTTGTTAGAATCCACAAAAATGCACGTAGCACTTTTGGATTACCATAAATGATCAATGAAAAAATGCAGATCATTCCCAATTAGTTCCGAAATTTCTATTCGGAACATATTTTACAACTACATTTTATTCTTCCCCTTTGATTTCCTTAAAACTTCGATATTTTTCTCCTTTAATTTTTGAAGTGATATAAATTTCACTAACTTATGTGTTCACTTCTACTTCTGCAATTGCTTTATTAATCGAATTATATTTTATTTTATAATATTTATGCTTTATTATTATACGAATCTAGCGTTGCATGCAAATCTAACATTAAAAGGTGACTATTTTGTATGTTTATGTGGATAAAGTGTTAGTTAATTTGAATAAGAATCAGTTGTGGGTCACATGTGGGTACATTTGAAAATCGGTATTTGTATTTTTATGTAAAAACGTAAAAATGCGAAGTCGAACATAACATTGAATTATTCTCTAACATTACTCACAGTTTTGCTTTCTCCATATTCACTTGAAATTATTCAATTTCAAGAAGTTACGAGGCAAAACTGTTCGAAATTATTCGCTAATTTATTTTTAAAAATTCCATAATAATTCGACCCTTAATTGAAATTATCTTGGTAGAACATTACTTTGACGGTCGGCTATTCATGTGCAATGACAATCAAGTTTACTTTTTAGAAAGCAACCCACAATGCATCTAATGCAAGCGCAGCGAACGACAGGCAAACGCCGAGTACTTCAACTAGCTTATTGTAAATGTTTTACTAACTGAAGATTGCCAAAGTGAAGTATTAGTTTAATAATTCTAGCTAAACTAGTGGCCTGGTGAAGCAAAAATTCTGCTGAACAAAATCACATAAATAGTTTTCTAAAAAGTAGCCTAAACACAGTTCAAGAACAGCAAATAAAATATTCTCTTATAACGCTACAATAAATTAAATAAATATACTACAGCAGTCTTCACAACTATTTTAATAACATACAATTGTAGGAATGGTGTGTAAAGAACAAAAAGGGTTCTTTACATACCAAGAATACAAAAATGTTCCTGTTTCGCAAAACGTAAATAGCAATTTTATCAATGGCGAGCATCCTCTTTCTCTGAGCCTTGTTGTCGCGTGAGGTTAGCTATGTTGGAAGCAGTGACGCACTCCTACAAAAATTCAGACGGTACGCATGTATGAAAATAGACGGAATAATGCAATCAAATATCTAACTGGGTGTCAAACTAAAGCATACATTCCTCTCACATGGCCGGAGGCTGCAAAGGCCAGGGTTTTTCTTTCAATTGCTGCGCGCATTGGATATTAGTAATACACTTTATCATGATCTAAGAACACTCCTAAGAGTCCTTCCTAAGAGTCCTCCTAAGAGTAACTTCCTAAGAGTGTACTCAATCGCGTAGAAGTTACACTGCTGCTCCATAAGTTGAAGACTTACGGTACAAATACGTGCTTTGAGTTCTTTGATATTTTGGTTAATTTTAAAGCAACACTAGTATTCAATCTTGTGACACTAGTATTCAATCTTGTGACACTAGTATTCAATCTTGTGACACTAGTATTCAATCAAAATTCAATAATTTGGAAATATAAAAATTATCACAGAACATTAAGACACTGGCTTAGACAGCCTTCATTTGGCACAACCTTGGTGTGATATCATTTAGTACACATATTTCCTGTTGCGTCTCAGACTCATCGGGCAAAACAAGTGCGTCATCATACTTTCTTGTTTTTTCCAGCTTTGTGAAATGTCCTTGCATATTATCAGTCGGGTCAGGATGATATAAACGTGGAAACTAATGACAAACAATAATTCTTCAAAAGCTCAAGATCTGATAGCAAAAATAAAACTCGTGGTGCTAAACAGCACAAACGTACTAGTCTTTTTTCAAACTTGGGCAGTTCTGGAGAGTTCTTGGAGAGTTCTACGAAAATGAGATCTTAACTATTCTTTTTAGCGTTCCTTGTTCTAACCGTAAAAAAATATTGGGCATTTTTTCAGAAAATGTTTTTAATAAATATCATGAAATTCAATCATAAATCACGTGAAAAATACTCGTTTAAAGTGCATATGACCTTTTTTAAAGATTTGATTTTTAGAACAGATTTCATGTAAGAGAAACATATTTTTCTTCAATGTTGTAATTTTGTAATTTTTGAAAATACAGAGAGTTTGCCGAAAATAAAACTAACATCACTGTTTTTTACTGTTCTTGGAAATATTCTAGGAGAAATTTAAAAGAAAAAAATTGGAGTTGTTTTTTAGTAATTGTTTAAAAATTGTCTGTATTTCGCGAAAAATTACGCGAGAAGAACTCGTCAAGATTGTCATTTAACAACGTATTTCATTAAAGAAAAAATATATTTTTCTTATATTGCTGTTGTAGGATGATGGTGAAAACAATTTAGAACTTTTTAAATTTTCGAAACTCCAGGGTTTTTCACAAAAAATGAGACCAGCACCATTCTTTTAAGAATTCCTGGCGCTATCCGAGGACAAAGTTAAATACAAATATTTAATATTTTTGACTTCTTATAAATTATCCCGAAAAATCAAAATATCTGTTTTACAATAGGACAAATTTTAACAATAACGCACACATTTTAGAGATGCATCTTTAACCCTCTGCCAGGAGCGTAGCATCACTGAGTACTGCGTGATCAGCTTTCGTATGATTAATGGTTGCATTGCTGTAGATTACTCAAATTCGAAATATTCTCAGGTGGCGGTATTGAGTCCTAGCTTGCTACGTTGCGTCTTATCTGTGATCAGTCGTAAAAGGGCGTGCTGCAATGTGAACAGTATTACATGAAGCACTGCCTGCTGTACGCTCTCGCTCCTCGAAGTAAAATTTTAAGTAGTTGACGAATTGTAGCAATGTTTGACATTTTTACTACACGTGTTGAGTAAAAAGGCTGTGCAATACATTACGAGTATACAAGCTTAGCTTCGATCCTCCCACGGGTATTTTCATATTAAAATATTTTATTTGTGCTTCGCACGTTCATGATAAAATAAATTTTAAACATACTACAGGTGCCCGACTCGTCCATTTTCAGGCATAGAAACTTACATGAATCGGATAAATTAAGTCGTAACGATTCATGTAAATGTCACTGTTTTACCAATGTACCCATAAGTACATTGAATCTATCAAAAACACGTGTTTCCGTGTAATTCTTCATATAAAACACAGTAAAATATAAAACAAAGTTTTAGTGTGTCATTGAAATGTTTTGTGTTTTAGCAGATTATCATCAGTTCGTGAGGAAATACACAAATGCAGTGGACTCTGTTGTACTCAAAATTACATAGATCTTCGGCAACTTCATCGACCTTTCAAAACTGGCAGTTGGAAAATCGGAGCTAAGGATTACATTTCCTCCTAAAATAAGAACTTTATTTCAAATATAATTTAATATAAATAAATTTTATTTAAAAATTGTAAAACTTATTGAATAAGATTTTCATACAAAGTTTTGCGTTTTAATAAAACAAAATAGGTGTTTTTTCTTTTATTTTTAAGTCATTTTGTAGGTAATTTCCGATTATTTTAAAGTCACTTTATAAGGCATCAAAGAATTTTTAAGTCATCAGAATTTGAGTCCTGATTGTAAATATAAATTCTAAATGTATTATAGTTGCCTGGCTCATCCATTTTCAGGCATAGATCGTTACACGATAATGTTTAATTAAATACTGTTTAGACATTTGTTTCATAACTAAAATAATTTAAATATCATTAATCTCACGAACCAATTTGTAATGCTTCATGTAAATGTCCTAAAGAGAGTATAGTGATTCGCAGCTTTTTTCCCTCTTAGGTCATTGAAACTATAAAAATACGCGTTTTTGTAGAATGCTTACAGAATGTCCTAGAAAGAACGGGCTAGAATTGTGTAACTGTCTTTTCATGAGGAAACAAATGAGTCATTGTCTCTGTATGTGCCGAAAGTCACCTAAAATCTGCTTTAGTTGCATAAAAAGCCAAAAGCACGTATTTAAAGAAATTTCTAACAATATTACGGATGGATACCCAAACAATTATCAGTTCCCTATTAGGAAACAAAGACACGTCGAATGACATTTCAATTGTCTCGATTACTGGCCCGGATGGTGGCCGTGAGAGATGAGGTATTTTCTGATGGCAATATTATCTAACAGACCAACCGGGAGTGACGAACGCTGGTTACTTGCCCTAAAGTAAAACCCTGTGTACATTAATTTGCTGAAATGTACTGCTACACGCTTGATTTAATTGTGATCCAGAACAAAACACTTTCTGTTGAAATTATACAAATGAAATAATTGTTCAAAGTGTCATCTGAAGGTAGCGCGGAGGTAGAATTGAATGTGGCTCTTGTGGGGTAGAGTGGGCGACGAAATGAGAGTCGTTAGAAATAACGGACACGCAGCTTGAAACCACCTAAATTTAATGAAGACCATGCACAACCGTAGATCATGTTTAACACAATTGATCACATTATAACCTTGGGCTAATACCATGCACGTAAGTAATGGGATTTAAATGCAGACATCATAAGCCCACTGTTTTTAAGAAACGTGCTGAAAGCAACGTTGCTCATGGCGACGCAGGGCGCTATTTCAGTACCATGCGTAATTAAACATTGCACACCCTAAGATAGATCTCGACTTTAGAGATTCACTGCATTAAATATTGAGATGTTTTCTAAAAGCAACATGGAAAGGACTCACGTTTGCAGAAATCGTGCTTCCACCGCTGCTAGAAGCGTGCTGGAGAGCCGTTGAAGGTCCCCGTCATGCCGTCTGTCCCGTCCCTGTTCGCTGCACCTCCATGCGCGTCCTTGGTAGCAACACGTCCCTCTGCCAGTTGCGACCACACTTCCCGAAAACCTTTTACGTTCTGCCCGCGCCCTGCCCCGACTCGGCTCGGATTTCGCCGCCCTCTCCTCTTTACTCTGCCCTTAAAACGATGCATGTTCTTTGGCCTTGCTGGGCCACGCATTTGCTTAGATTCGCGGGCTGAACCAAACATTAATATCCGGGCTTTGGAAACCTGTAAATTGCTCACCCTAGGTCAGCGGTACTGTTGGGTATTTTAAAATTGGGCGTGCAACGCTATCGACTTCCATTTTCGCAACGACGGACCGACACCTCAACGTTCTTAGTCATATTTATCCGTTACTTGCATCGTTCTCTGGCTGAGCGAATATTTAGGGCGGGATTGTCAGAGAATTTATTTTTGCCGGGTATTTTGCAAACGTTCTTTTACATTACAAAGTATTTTGTTTACTTTGTTGTATTCACATATTTTTATCAGAATACTTGAGCATCGTCTCATTTTTAGAACTAGTGCTAAAAAATGTACTTTTAGCACGCTAGACGCTAGAGAAGAGCAGTATTTAGTACTGGCTGTCTATAAAAAATCTTTCACTAATGAAAAATAGGAAAATGGGAAGTATTTGGTGAAAATAGTTAACGTAAGATAAATGGATGAGCCCTCTTTTTATAATGTTTCAGAAGAGTATTTTAAAGCTGCACCCATATCCTTTATTCCGATTGGATGTTATTTCTGGTTCTTTCATTTTCAAATATTCTGGCCTGAGAAGTGTATTACAAAGCTTATCTGTCAGTGTTTCTTAATGATTAAAAATTGTTGTTTTTTTGATAAACGGCCTTCTTGTTTTATTCATCATCTTTGTAAGTACAGAATACGGCGTTTTAGTAGAAGTGACACTTAATTTTGGTATGCAAAGGAATATTGTGTGGCTATCGATCTACGAAGTAATCTTATACTACAAGGCGCAATAATGCGAGAAACTTGCTGAATTTAGATAAAACGACAATTTAATAATTTCGGAAATCCGTATTTAACTCGCACTTTGTTAGAAATTATTACGCAATATGAATCATTATTTTTTTATATAGCTATGTGAATCATTCTGACGCTTTCGTGCGGTATCTCTTCAGAACTACCTGCCTCACCAGCAAATTTGAAATTATCTTATTATCTTCAAAATACGTAGTAAACATTGTTGACAAATGCAAGTAACATCTTGAAAGCGTGCACACAAACGACTTTTAGGTCGCTCATTTTGGCCTTGGTTGCATCATACCGCCACCTCCCACTTTTCTGGCGAATGGCTGGCACTATGACTTGTTGCACGACGTTCATTTCATCTCCCTTCAACTTAAGAATTAACCGCCTCAGATCGTCCAGAACCTGATTTTTAAAATATTAAGCTAATGTTATTTAATGAAGCTTCGAATGAGAGTTTAAGTTTAATAAATAATATTTGAAAACATCGCCTATACTTTAGTATTTTGTACTGCCACTCGTTTGGTTACTTCGATAATATTTTTTTGGGTAACAGATGACCTATTTCGTCAATGAAAGTTACCGTTGAAATACACACCAATATAGTAATAGTGATAATATATAATTAAGAGCAAGTAATAGTCATTCTAATGAAGTGTGATTAGAGCTTCTGATAATTATATACCGAATGCCATGGATGATGTTTAAGTGATCGCTCGTTGAGCAACGTTGATATAGATCGTTGAGGATGACTACATATAATAAAAGTTAAATTCTTCCACTTTTAAGTAGAAAATCACGTATTTTATATATATATATATATTGGAATTTCTCGTACATCCAAATTCTTAATCTCGTTCTCAAATACGCTCGTTGACAACGTCTAAGCTAGAGTTTATAGTTTCTCTGTTGACGTAAGGAAAAATTTGAAATGCATTATCATAATGTTTTGTATAAATGTATAAGACATTTTTTCCGCATTCCTTTACCGTCAGTAAATACACTAATTGAATGATACCAAGAGTATCGTGACACGTATGAGAACTCCTTGAAACATGAGGAAACATTTCCTAGATTTTGCAATATATTTTTCTCGACTTAAGCGTCATCAAAAGCTATGCAATTTCTAAATCGTTTATTGTGAAAAGAGGTACGTATTTCTCGAAGAAGTTGGAAATGTTTTATGCATTTATTGAAGAACTACTTAGAATATCATCAGAGTCTGAAATAAAATTGCTGATAGCTTTGTATTTTATAAAACTTTTAACTGAACTGTCATCCTTCTATTCATGAACGTTTCAAACAATGAATATACGAAAATGAATATATTACAACCAATTACGATATCTCTGAAGCAAGGTATTGGATATTAACTGATCAAAACATTTCTTGCTTTAAGAGAAAAAAATGGCAATCCTCGTTTACTGATAAAGAAATAAAATCAAGTAGTCCGGAGAACCTTTTCCATTTTCTTAGCCCAATAATTGGGAAAAGAGGCGAGTTGACTGGTGAATTTGTTCTCAGATTTCTTCGCCCACATAAAAGTAACAAAGAAAAACTGAAACATGTTTTAGTAGGCCTCAGCGCGGTACCGTTGCGGTTCCATCTGCTAAGCTAAGAAGTAACTGTATTTCTCTCGCAATGACGTAAGTGCTACAGCGTGAACGTCTTTTTTGAAAGGAGAGGAGGTGCAACATTTCTGGTTTCTCAAAGGATAGTTGGCAATAGATAAATATATGAATAAATTGAATAATCAAGTAAAGTAAATAAACGCAGAAACGTGGAGTTTGTGAGTGGTCCCAATAATAAAATGCGGAAAGTACTTTTTAAACAGGATGTAGTGCAAGGCATTGAGTACTCGTTTCTAATTGTTCGGGCATGACGCTTTCTGATGGCATTTCTTATTGTGCTTCTCTCAGCTTGCAGGTACGCTGTGATTTTCCGCCGTCTGTTTGCTTATATTATAGCGACGTTCTCTTTTAAAAACGTCAAAAACAAGCATCTCATCTTATGCCTTTCTATTCCAAATAGATCGAACTCTCATTTTAGAGTATATTACTGAAGTTAATGTTTTGTACAAGAACCCCCAGCACAAGAGAATGAATTAAATGTGTCTCTATGCGAGGACTTGCTTCCTGTTGATGCAAAGGTACTAACTTACTGGAGAAACAAAGTGAATCTCCCCAATTTATGAAAAAGTGCTGCTCACCAGTCAACTCGCCTCTTTTTCGAACTATTGGGCTAAGAAAATGGAAAAGGTTCTTCGGACTACTTGATTTTATTTCTTTGCCTGTAAATGAAAACCTGCGCATTCCACAGTATTTTCGGGGAGACTTTTCAGTACAGCTGGATTGATATGACAAAAAAGAAATAGAACGGACCCACAAAGAGTTAGAATATTAGTTTTCCTTAATAAGAATCTTTAAAAAATTATAAAAAATATATTTATCACAGTAGTTTTCAAATATTAAAATAGTAAATGCGTGCATGTTTGAAGATCAAAATATATCCTTTCAATTCTAAATGAACCACTTTTGTTGTCGAATCTTTAAAGTAATATGGTATCGAGTATCGAAACTCTCAGAGAGGTTACGGTATAAATTATCAAGAAATTCAGGTGTCGACCCATCACTAGTGCTAGTAATGTAAACCTTTTCTAAATTATTCCCTTAAGATATTTGCCATCTCCCTACTAATGTCAGATATATTTAAGAAGTTGTACACGTAACTTTCCATTGCTGTATCATTATATCATCATCATTATCATCATCATTTTTTACTTACGAATAGTCCGACTTGGACCACGCGTGCATGCACCCTACATTTACCGGGGCTCAGAATCATTAACTCAGTGGCAAGTGTGTGTAATTTTATCAGGGATCGGCATTTAGCTAGATTCTATTTTTATCTCCCAGGTTTGTTAGCCCTGAGAGTATGGAACATGACATGATTACGAAAGTGAGGAGTGAGAGGACGACACACAAGTACAGCAAACACAAATAAACCCATGCTCGAGGCGGGATTAAACCCGCTATTTCTTATGGTCCGAAACCGCTACGGCAGCTACTGCCTTAGCGATCTTGGCCATCATCATCATCATCATCATCTTCATCATTCATCATGCGTCGTCGCGTCATCATGCAATAATAATCAATTATTATTATTATTATTATTATTATTATTATTTATTATTAATTTATTATTATTATTATTGTATGCTGCTGTTTCGTGTCGATTAAATGTTGTTTGTGTGCCGGCAGGTGGGCGCGGGCGCGGAGGACCCGGAGGCGGGGCGCGAGCGGCGGCGGCGGGGCTGCAGCTGCCGGTGGCGAGCGCGGGGGCGGCGGGTGGCGGGCGGCGTGGCGCGGGGCGGGGTCGAGGGCGCGTCGCCGCCCACGCCGTCGCCGGCGGCGCTCAGCGCTCCGTGTCGCGCGACGTGGCCACGCCCGCCACCACTCCACGCCGCTCAGCCGGCCTGCGCCACCCGTCCGAGGACACCACGCTCGAGTACGCGTACGACAACCCGGCGCTGGCGCCCAGCCCCAGCCCCGGCGCCGACGCGTCCGCCTCGGCCTCGCGCCTCGTCCACCGCCACGCTCTCGGGCGCGCCGCCGCACGCCGCCCGGCCCCCCGGCCCCACCCCGCGCCTCGGCGGCCGCAAGGAGAGCTCCTTCTGACACCGCGGCGGCGCCCTCGGAGGTACGCCCTCTCGCACACAGCCCTGGCTGGCTGCTACTCCTCACCTCCTACCGGCTGATGTTTTCTCAGAGATAGCATTGCCGTTGCCCCGCAGCGACTCCGACCGGGAAGTCCAAGGGTTCAAGTCTCGACTGTGGCAGGATTTAGCTGGACAGCTAGTTCGGATTCAGCCGCTGACCGGAGGAGAAGCGGCCGGCTTCTTTGATCGGTAGTTTTCAGTGGTTTCTCCGATCACTACCGGGCGAATGCCGGAGCAGTGCCCTAACAAACGGGCCACAGTTTACGCCCGATCTTTCCTTCCTCTGCCATGTCCTATCATCTCCCTTGCACACACAATAACATGCATTTCATTATCACGAATGCCGGGAGAGCAGTCGAGAGTCCAGAGCATGTCCTCACTGGGACAGTGCCCAGCTGGCTATAGATACCTGGAGGAGGGAATCTCTTGCAAGTCGACGTGTTGGTCGGCGCCGGATCTCACCGTACAAGGTGGGAGGAACTCCGCCAACTGAAAAAACAATCACTATACTAACAGGAATAATGAAAGTCGCTTATGTACCCCCAAACATTCAATTGAATTTCCTAAAATACCCATCGGGGACAATACTGAGAGCTACTCAGTAAACGTCGGGGGGTGGGGGTGAAGTCACTAAATTCATCCATGATACTCCATGTTACGATATTGCTTGAGATCAGAAAGCTAGTTTTAGTCTGGTCGTCCTCCTGTGGGGATGACATGAGAAACGACCCAGGGTCGGTTTAAACCGCAACCGCGGCTGCAGTGGATTCCAATGGGGCACGTCATGGCCAGTCCTATCAATTTGAGTTCCTTTAGTAATAGAGCGGAGACGCCAACGACGACAACCACATTACTCTAATATCGTTGTTTAAAAACCCAAGTAAGGCAGGAATGTTTTCAGTTGGGTTCTTGGGGAGGTGGTCATGTAATGGTCAACCATTAAATAATCATTTCATAAATCGAGGTATCTGTTTTATATTTCTTTTTAACTGAAAGTGAAATGGCACATGAAGAAACAATTTGTTGGCAAAGATTCTTGCTTCTTCTGTGCGAAAGTTTCCTTAGGAAAACCAAATGAAACGTAATTTACCACGAACGGATCGAAGTCATTTACATTTTGGGGTTTTTACAAAAACAATATTTTCTGTAGGTATTCAAATTTTGGTTCACTAGATGTACATGAAAACGGGAGTAGAAGGAGCATAGAAGAAAATAAATGTTTCAAAACAAATTATGACATCTTAAGTTGCATACTCTTTCAAAACTGCAAACTACTCGTACTTCGAATTTTGACACAGAACAGACACTCATTATTTTTCGAATTAAACACGATGAATAGCCCCATAAGCAGGTTTCGAAAACGTGGAGTGGGAGAATCCTTGAACTGTCTCTAAAATACCTTTGGTCGGCGCAAGGTGGGAAGTGACTGCCTTATTGGCAAATTACAGAGGAAGAACTTAGAAACTATTTGAATGGAGTGCGAAATATTTTCCTCTTTCTAGCCGCCGCCAATTCCAAATCTCACTGGTGCTGTACTATGTCCGTGTTGGAAGGAACCTCTTGATCTAGGCTGCATGGAATTTTTCAAAAGTTGCCGCCCCACAAAGAGCACTTTAGAAACTGAAAGATGGCTTAGCCTTCTTAGCTCCATTTAGCAAAAACTTAGCTCCAAGAGCCGCCAAAAGAGAGTTTGCTCATTAATCAATTTAAAAAAAATCAAGTTATTGTTATTATTACTGTGTGTGTGCTTGATGATTCCGGGCACTCCAACGGTTGATATCATTATTCCCGTAAGTGTGGTGCATGTTTCTTCCTCGGGAGGTTACTCCCACCAGCGGGGCACCGCCCCAGCGCAATCTCTAAGCTACCAGATGTGGCGTAGAGAAATGCATGTAAGTGTGTTAAAGTAAGGAAGTGGAAGGAAAGATCGCGCGCGGTTCGTGGTCCGTCTCGTTTGTTAGCATAATGCCCCGGCATTCGCCTGGTGTTGATCGAAGAACCCACAGAAAACTACCGATCAGAGCAGCCGACCGCAAGAATTCTCCTTCATACAGCAACTGAATTCGACTTAGCTGTGTAGCTAGTGTCGAAAATCTTGCCACCGTCAGGAGTCTAACCTAGGGCCTCCCGGTTAGAGGCACTACAGTGACATCAGTTGTCTGAGCCACCTCTCCCGGTGCGCTTGTGTGATAATGTGTAATAACTTTTGATAAATAATGTTTGATTTACACTCTCTCAAAAAAATCTTACACCATCCTTTTGTGTCTGCAGGCGCAGGCTTTGTGTGTCTGTCTGCACGGGACCTCCTGGCATCCCGCCCCAGAGCTGTTGCAGCGGTTGAACGTTAATGGAATTCAACGGACACTACTCATCTGGAGTAGCTTTTGTCAATATCTTTGGGCCTTTGACAGGAATTGGTGATGCATTGCATCAATTTGCATTGCACCTGTCATCAATAACAGCATACCGATGGCTGTATGCTTTGCTTTTGGAAAGAGGCAATTATGCTATTTCCTCCCAGAAATGATGTTTGGAAGTCTGTCCTTACATCTGCAATGAAGCATTCTTGGAATTGTTGAAAAGCAGGATTGTATTGTCGAATATTCAGATCAAATTTATTTTATTTTTTTAAAAATGTTATGTAAAAATTTCACTTGACTATATCAGGATCTTTTTAAAAAATCGTTTTAAATATTACTAGAATTTTCTACCTTTCTTTATTGTTAATATGTATATCTTGATTTCCTGTCACTTGCTTTTTCCATATAGTCTAAATATTTTTCTCAGTATTTGAAAATATATATGAATTTAATGTCATAATTTATAATTATTTCCTACCCATACACAAATGATAAAGATAATAAAATCTGAGACGAGTAGAAATACTCCCTGTTGGAGCTAGTAATGTTTACATTCCAGTATCTGTTTGACCATCTCTAGTCTTTTTATGATGTGCCAGGCTCATCCAGTGGAGTGTGTGTTAATGGGAGTACTAAACAACTCCTTGTACTGAAAAAAATTTAATCAATATTACTACCTTTGTTTTTCACAATTTCTCAACAAAAAACTTTCTCAAAAATTTTGCAGAGTTGCTTTCAATTTTTATCCATTGCTATAATTTTCATTGTATCCCAGTTCAACAAATAGATGTCAACAAACAAAATTTAAAGTTTTTTGTATCATAAAGGAACTAATGAACATATTGATGACTCAGGCTTCATCAAAAGTTACTCAAGTTATTCAAAGAAAGAGAAAACTTAGTGTTAAAATTAAAAAAACATTACGGTACTGAAAGATATTATTTTTTATTTCGTACATCAAATAAATCTTAATACCCACTTTTCAAAAGAATTCATAGAAATGAACGGGGAAAGAACTGTTGGACACCTTTGTTCTTGGTTAGAAATGTTTTCTGACCGTCAAATGTTTGAGTGTCAGAACTCAGAGAGAGAGAGGGAGAGAGAAAGAGAGAGCAATAAGTAGACTCTGCTGTCTTTTTGTGAAACTTCTATACATTTTTGACATCACTTCTTTGTAATTAATGGCTTATTGCAATTGATAGTTTATAGATTGAAGTCAAATGTGTAATTCTTCAATATATAGTTTCTTGTCATTCAAAGTATACTGTCTTTGAAATGAAATATAGTATATTAAAAATGCAGTAGTGAATTTGGATGTGTAGGCACTGAATGTACTGCAATGTTAAAAACTTTTCAATATAACTATTACTACTACTGAATCAAGTAGCTCAGTCACTTTAGTGTAGTAGGTATATAATAAGAAAATCATTGCACTAAATGTATTTTAATTGTTCAATATGTCTTTCATGAACATATGTGATGCCCAATATTTCCGTCCAATTGTTAATTTTATTTGAATGTATAATGGTCCAATGCTCACAATGAAGTGCGCACAATGACTGATGTGCAGAATCATGATACATTCCAAAGTACTTAATAAAAAATTAATTTAATTGTAAATATTTGTTTCTCAAGTGAAATAGAATGCAATGTTAGCATATGATGTAATTCAAAATACTGCAACATAGGTATCATTATACACTAACAATTACAAAATTATACATCATATTAGGATGTACTTTGTAAAAAATAAAGAAAGATATGCAAGTGAGGAGAATATTAAATATTTTAATAAAGCAACCATTTATGCACATTAATTAATGTCCTGCTTAAGAAAAAAAAACTTTTAAATATTTCGAGATATAATGAAATATATAAAATTTGCAATTTCAGGTTGAAATTTATCTGCTGTTGACAATGGTTCTTTTTATGAAGAGATATTTGTCAGTACATAGTTGATACCTTATAGAAAATATTTTGAAATAAAACTAAGTGATCATACCTTCCAAAAATTGTAACAATCTTGCTCTGTTCCATTTTCTCCTCTCATGCCTTTAAAAATAAGAAAATACATTTTTAAACTCTGCATGGAAAGTACTAGTAAATTGAAATATTTTTGTATTGGAACTGAATTATGCTCTACAGTGTGTGTCAATGAAAATCACTTGCTTCCTATAAATAGCAATAATTATTATCGATGGTTAATAGTACTCAGCCTAAGGGTTCAATCACTCATATTATATATAATATGTTGTCATATGCAGAATATTAGAATTTGCACTGAAAATACAATTTTGGTATTTTCATAGATAAGCAAGATGTATATATCACAATAATCAATAATGTACATACTTCATCTTGCCGTTAATATGCCACTTCATATACATATATTCATATTTTTTTCTCATATGCGACATTGGTGCTACATTAAATGATACTTCCTGTTTTTTACATTCCTGCCATACTGAACTATTCTACATTATGTTAATAAGTACTCATTCAGAG